TGGTTATCTTATATCTGGAGACCCTGATGGCCTCACATGTTGTTTCTCAGATTTCTTTCTTTTTCTTTTTTTTAAGTAAATTATTTGGTTTTTCTTTGTAGATAGTCATGCCATCTCCAAATGGGACAATTTTATGTCTTCCTTTCCAGTTGGAATGACTTTTATTTTCTTGCCTTATTGCATTTCTTGAACTTCTAGCACTCTGTTGTTTCTTGTATTTCCTCTTTATATATTTAGAACATCAGACAGTGATTTTCTTAGCACGCTTGTGCTTCCATAACAAAACACCATAGACTGAGGGGCTTATAAACCATAAACAACAGAAATTTATTTCTCACAGTTCTGGAGGCAGAAAGTCCAAGATCAGGGTTTCTCTGTTTGAGTTTCTCTGATACTCTTTTGTGATTAGATTAGGGTTATACTACTTTATCCATAGTTCCACAGAAGTGCATCATAGCAGAAGGTACATGCTTTTAATTGATAATATTATCAGTGATATTAACTTTGTTAGCTTTGATCAGTTGGTTAAGGTGATGTTTTCCAGGCTTTTCCACTATGAAGTTATTTTTTTTACTTTTTATAGTTAATAAGTATTTTGTAGGAAGATATTTTGAGACCGTGTAAAGAGTCTGACTTAGCAACCAAACAACAACAAAATATCTTCTTATTCTTCAAACTTTAACCAGCCAGTTTGAACATTATATATTGACAACACTTGCCTGAATCAATTATGATGATTTTTAAAATTTTTTATTAAAATAGAGTTGATTTAAAATGTGTTCATTTCCAAAAAATACATTAGTTTCAGGTGTACAATAAAGTGATTTAGTTATACATATATAGTCTCAGTAGCCTTTTCGGATAGAAATTGGTAAGCTGATTCTAAAATTTATATGAAAAAACAAAGGATCTAGAATATTGTGCAAACAATTGGAAATCCATATGTTAAAAAAAAATGAACTTCGACCCTTGCCTTGTACAGATCAAAACAAATAAACAATCTGATATTAAAAATGGGCAGAGGAGCTGAATAGACATTATTCCAAAGAAGACATACAAATGATGAAAAGGTGCTCATCATCAGTAATCATCAGGAAAATATAAATCAAAATCATCACTTTATATGTTAAAATGATTATTATAAAAAAGACAAGAGCTAACAAGTCCTGGTGAGGATGTGGAGAAAAGGGAATATTTATGCACTGTTGGTGGGATTAGAAATTGGTACTGCCACTATGAAGGAGCTTCAGACACTTCAAAGTAGAATTACTATATTATCAGTAATCACACTTTTGAGTATTCCCAAAGAAAATGAAAACAAGATCTTGAAAAGATACCTGCATTCCCATGTTCATCGTGGCATTATTCATAATAGCCAAGATATGGAAACAACCTAATTTTGTTTGTCTGCTACTTCCTCTTAGTTATCTTAATAGTCAGGTTATGAGCAGAGAAAATTTTAAATGCCTTGAACCTATAATTTAGCCTTTTTCAAAGGGCTGTGTTTGTGTTTGAGGGGCATGCCTTCAGTGTTATAGCTTGCTTTTTTGTCTTACATACTATCACTGGCAAACCCCAATAACAATTCCCAGGGAATAAAAATAGAATCTGGATAATAAGATAAAATTTTTTCTCCTCTTTGTGCTTAGTCTAGTCTTGCTCATAGGTTGCCACATGCCTTCATAAATGGGACACACACCTGGATGCGCCCTCCTTTTCCACTGGGGACCTACCTCAAAGGAAGTCCTGCCAGGTTGTTGGACCCTGGTTGGAAATTAGTCACATAAATACCATAAGATTTAACCCAAATAAGATTTCTGGTTCAGGAAATTTGGAACCAGTGCCGAACTGTTAATGGTTTCCTCAAAAGACCAAAATAGGCAGTGTCCAATGGGGCAGACTGTGATGTGATTGGGGGTCCCCCTTGAATTTATAACAGCCTGTGCTTAAATAGTCCTTCCCCAGTCAGAATATCCCACAGATTAGACAGGACTGCCTCAGAGCCAGAGCCGTTTAGCCACGTTAGTTCTTAACCAACTTGGTCTGTTAGGAAGTGGCACAGCTATCTGAGTCAGGGGTCTTCGCTTTCCTCCTTTCAACCAAAAAGAAGGAGTTTCAGAATTCACACCATGTGAGTGATAAAAGCACAAGGGAGTCCCTTGGGGTGCTCACCAGGTCACTAAGGCACCTGGTATTCTGTGCTGATACCAGGAGGAGAACCTGTGGAACCTCAGTTGATAATCACCCAAGATTCGCCTGCCAAGCAGAGGGGCCGGGTAGGCAGTGAGTGTTTCTTGTCTGGCCAGCAGCTCACCGGTCTTCCAGATCCTGGGGTTCCTGGTCTTACAAAGGGCTCACAGGGCTCCCCTGCCTACTTCAGAGAAACTCACACCATGCAGCAGGAAAAAAAAACACCCCTCAATCATAGTAAGATAAAGGAAATCATTAGAAGCCAACACAAAACCTTTCAGCATTCCTAGAGTGCCCCAGGGAATATCACCAAATCTATACTACTACTGGCCCTGAGTGATTAGAAAGGAATGCAATCCTGAGGTCCTGTTTAATTTCCCAAAGTGACCTGTACATGAGGTGAAAACTTCAGAAAGTGGAAGCAGAACCAGATAGCCTTCCCTGCCTCTCACCTCAGCAAGGTTGCCTACCAGGTGTTTAATAACCAAGATACAGAGAAGGAAAAGTCAGAGGATAAAAGGGCCTGGGGCTATCAGGAAAGGCCTAAGAATGGGCATTCACAGAACCATTAGAATATAAACTGCATGCACACATTCTCACCCATTCCTTTCTATATGTCCCTGAATGCCCTGTACCCCTGTATATCATGCAAACATTGGGGCTACTATCCACCTAATGGGAGACAAACTGGATGGAGACTGGTGTCCCCCTAGACCAAGGCGCAAAGAGATAATGGTAACGGCTGAGGAAAACCTTACCTAGGCAGAGCTAGTGGACCTCCTAGGAGTAAATCCCGAGGTTTGGGCCCCGGGATGGGCGTGTGGGCAGGCTAGCTGCAGGAGCCAGTCCTGTGATAGTCCATCTAAAACCTGGACATACATTGTCTCAGATTTAGCTCAAATATCACAAACTGAGTGTCCTATCTTGGCTTCATTCTCAGAGGTCAGAGAAGCCTACCCCAGAAAAGAAAAGAAGCCATTTGCAGCCTTACCTACCCTAAAACTGGAAGATAGCTTAGGAGTTTCCTGAGGATGGCTGGGTTTTGCCACATCTGGATCCCTAAATATGGTCTAATATCCAGGCCTCTATATGAAAAGTTGAAAGGAAAGGATGATCCTTTTGAATGGGATTGTAACTGTGTAACTCAGATTGGGACTCGAACCTTAATTTCCTTGAATGGACCAACTCAAGTATGCTCTCAGATAGAACAAACAATGAAAGCTCTCATGGAATATGGTAACCAAGTGTTGTTCCTTCCCACCAGGACCTAGGTGTATCTAAAAAACCCTCAAGGTCAGCTCCCTCCTAAGTGGGATGGACCCTGCTTGGTGATTGTGAGAGAGGAGGGAAAGTGGCTGGACACAACTGCTAGATAAATGAAGAAAGGGTGCAGCTGTTAGGATGCAATAAAAACTGGCTAGAACCAAAGTGATTCTGAGAATATTTCTGTCATTTATCTTTAGCTCATTATACCTTCATTGTGATACTAAAAATCACTCCCCCTTTAACGCCTTGACAGTTTCAAGGTAGACCATAAAAGGCCAAAAAGTGGATAGTGGCCCAGTCTGATAGCCCATTGTGTGTGTGCTCTCTGCTGCTCATTTGTGTCCAACTCTTTGTGACCCTATGGACTGTAGCCCACCAAGCTTCTCCAGACTTGGTTCTAATTGACTGACTCCTTCTCACTAACTTTCTCTCAAATTTACAAGTTGGATCTTGAAGAAAGAAAACAAAAAACCACAGACATTAGGGAAAAGGTGGAACACATAGGTGCTCCCTTCTGGTTAATGTCCCCGTCCTCTTTGAACTCTGCTCCAATATGTTTTTACAATCCCAGAGATGGAGTTTGGCAGGGCAAAGGGTACTGTGGAAAGTGTGTTGTTGATGAAATGCAACGTAGTGTCTCCTTGAGGTGAGGTGAGACTGAACACTCTGGTGAGGGAAGAGCCTGAAACCCAAAGAGGACTTCCCAGAGTTGACTGTGGGGGAGAGGATGCTGGAAAATTGCCTGAATGTTTCATGCTTTTCATAGGATGAGTGAACCTGTCAAGAACCAGCTGAATTTGCCCCTCTGGGAGTAAGGGGTTTGCTTTCTCTGAGACTTGCTTTGAGCACATGTCAAAGGGAAATAAGTACATGGAAATTCTTCTAAACCCTGCCCAATATGCTTCTGATGTGGAGAAAGAAAATAGGCTGGTTGTAGAAACAACCTAGCTTCCCTGATTGCTCAGCAGTAAGTGATTTGCTTGCCAATGCAAGAGAGGTTTGATGCCTGGGTATGGAAGATCCCCTGGAGAAGGAAATGGCAACCCTCTCCAGTATTCTTGCCTGGGAAATCCCACGGACAGAGGAGTCTGCTGGGCTACAGTCCATGGGGTCGCAAAGAGTCAGACACAACTTAGCAACTAACTGCAGCGACAACAGAAACAACCTAGAACCTGTGATTGGGTTTGTCTCTTGCTTTAAATCTTGAGGGTAAAGTGAAATTATTTACAGAACAGAAGCAGAGTCACAGATGTAGAAGACAAACTTATGGTTACCAGGGGGTAAAAGGTGCGGGGGGCGGGGGGGGAGGATAAACTGGGAGACTGGAACTGACATGTACACACAACTACATATAAAGTAGATAATTATACCTGCTGTAGAGCACAGGGAACGCCACTCGATTCTCTGTGATGGCCCACATGGGGAAAAAAGATCCTCAAAAGAAAACCCAAATGAGCAGAGAGCAGATATATATACACGTGTAACTGATTCACTCTGCGGTACACCTGACACTAACAGAACGTTGTCAGTCAACCATACTCCTATTTAAAAAAAAAAAAAAAGCAAAACCCCAAGAGTTTTTCTCTCTTCTGCTTCAGAATCCATTGTGCATGCATGGTTCAACTCCAGCCTTCTTTGTCATGTCACTTCTAGTGCTGGCATGAAGTCAAACTGGTTTCTCCCTTTTTTTAGATCTGACACACAACAGTCCTCAGGCATTCATCGCCTGCACTGGCAAAGAGAAGAGATGATGAGTAGTTATTCATTCTGTCCCTGACATCTGTCTGGATATGGTCTAGACTGATGGGGTACGAATTCAGATTAGGATAGGTGTGGAACATGTACAGGTACTCAGGATTGCTAGGGACCAACTAAGGAATACTCTTCCAGCCTCACAGGACCTTTAGATTTGGGTTAGAACCAGACTGGCCTCTGGGCTGTCCTATTATACAAATCATAACCATGCTGGGATTATTCTGAACAGCTAAAATGTGGACACATCCACTATCAGATTAATTTAAGAACACCTCTAGTTGTTTTTTTTAAATTTATTTTTTAACTGAAGGATAGATAATTGCTTTACAGAATTTTGTTTTCTGTCAAACATCAGAATGAATCAGTCATAGTTATATATATGTCCCCTCCCTCTTGAAGCTCCCTCCCATTTCCCTCCCCATCCCACCCCTCTAGGTTGATACAGAGCCCCTGTTTGAGTTCCCCGAGACATAACGCAAATTTCCATTGGCTATCTATTTTATGTATGGTGATGTAAGTTTCCATGTTACTCTCTCCATACATCTCACCCCCTCCTCCCCTCTCTCCCTGTGTCCGTAAGTCTGTTCTCTATGTCTCTTTCTCCATTGCTGCCTTGCAGGTAAATTCATCAGTACCATCTCTTTAGATTCCATATATATGTGTTAGTACACAATATTTACCTTTCTCTTTCTGACTTACTTCACTCTGTATAATAGGCTCTAGGTTCATCCACCTTATTAGAACTGACTCAAATATGTTCCTTTTTATGGCTGAGTAATATTCCATTGTGTATATGTACCACAACTTCTTTATCCATTCATCTATCAATAGACATCTAGGTCACTTCCATGTTCTAGCTATTGTCAATAATGCTGTAATGAACACTGTAATGTGTCTTTTTCAATTTTGGTCTTCTCAGGGTATATGCCTAGGAGTGGGATTGCTGGGTCATATGGAGAACACCCTTAGCTTTTTGTTGTTGTTGTTGTTGTTCTGCTTTAAGCATTGTCTAGGGAAAAAAAAAAGAGGGCCTTTGAGGATGTTGCTGGGGATATCTGGTCTCTAAGTCCTTCATGCTGCTCCTTTTCTATTTTGCAGCTTTCTTGAGATATGTTCACATACTCATCAGTTTAAAGTGTGCAATTTAGCAGTTTTAGTATATACACAGATATATGCAATTATCACCACAGTCTATTTTATTTACTTATTTATGGCCATGCAACATGGTCTGTGGGATCATCATTCCCCAACCAGAGACTGAACCCATGCCCCCTGTAGGGGAAGTGCAGAGTCTTAACCACTGGACTGCCAGGGAAATCCCTACAATTAATTTTAGAATATTTTCATCACCTCAAAAAAGAAACCCCATACACTTTAGCTATTATTGTCTCTTCCTACAACCTCCCCTGCCCTAAGCAACCACTGATCTACATTCTATCTCTAGAGCTTTGCCTATTCTGGACATTTCACACACATAGAATCATGTAATATGTGGTTTTTTGTGACTGACTTTTATTCAGTGTAATGCTTTCAAGGTTCATCCATGTTGCAGCATGTATCAGTATGTCATTCCTTTTTATTACTTAATAATACTGCATTGTGTGAATATACATTTGTATGCCCCTTCATTGGTTAATGGACATTTAGGTATACTTTGACTATTATGAGTAATGTTGCTGTGAACATCTGTATACAAATTTTTGTGTGGACATATGTTTTCATACGTGTCTATACCTAGGAGTGGAATGCTGGATCAAATGGTAGCAATGTACTTAACTTTTTGAAGAACTGCCAGACTCTTTCTACAGTGACTACACCATTTCACACTGTTTTTGTCCTTTATTTCTAGTGTTCCACTCACCTACCCACATGGTGGTTTTCATAGTCTTCCGACTTCAAGGTAGAAACTGAGGCTATCACATCAGATAAGATATTTGAAAGCACAAGCCACCTAAAAGATATTATTGGCATCAGAACTATCCACTGCACCCACCTTTAAGGCAATATTAAATACTATCTTTCTATAGATATTTAAATATATCTTCATAACAATCTAACTCTCCCTGTTACATCTTCCCTATTATAAAATAACCACGAAGGAGAAAAGAAGCTAAACATATAAAGCTATCTATAAAACTTTCTATAGGCCATGTTTTATCACTCATGGCTAAATTTATTTATTCCTTTTTACATCTTCCTTCTTGCCAGGCTTCTGACTCTAGCACCAACTTAAAAAGGATCTGTTGTCATTATCATTAAATATATTGAATTTTTTTGGTAATTTGACTGTTTTACATATATCTTAAAATTCCAGCATGCCCTAAGGAGATAAAAATCTCTGCATTGTACCTCAGAGCTTTTCACCACAATGCTCTGGATTTCTTTCAAATGTCTTGAGTCAAATCCTGGATTTACTAATTGACTGGATTTGTGATTTTAGACTTAATCTCCTTGAGGTTCTTTTTTTCATCTATAAAATGGAAATGTTCATACTATCACCTTTACAGTATCATATGAGATGTTGAATGTGAATGGAATATATCACATTAATACCAGATATATGTGGTGTTTTTAATCAGTTTAGCTATGCATATCTCATCTGTAGATATTAAATACTGAGAAACTTGCTGTGAAAGATACTATTTATGGTTAGTAGTTATTTGCTCTTTCCCTCAACTTGGCCAGATTGCCTTTCTAGAAAGAAAGTATCTTTAGTAACAAGCTTCTCTAATTAATTCTTTATACTTCTCAAAGATCCTCCAACAACTGCTTTGTTTTCCTTCTCAGAGGACTTGAGTTTTCTGCTGACATTCATTCTACAACTGTCAGGACATTTCATTCTCCACTCTGAACAAGATTCTCTTCTGGTATGATTTTGGCTGCTCCATGCTTAGCATGTGATAAAACTCATTTCACTATTTCATTTGGGATAGTTCCTGCATCAAATATTTCTAAGCGTTCACTACCAATCACTGCAGATGGTGAATGCAGCCATAAAATTAAAAGATGCTTGCTCCTTGGAAGAAAAGCTATGACAAACCAGTTATGGCCAATAACCATCAGTTTCTGGTCCTTGCTTTAATGTTTCAGGTGTGTACGTTACAGATACCAGGCAGGATACCCTTGTTCTTCACTTCGCTGTTTTCCCTGGAATTCTTGTTAGCAGTCAGGATGGTGGGAAGTATTCCTTTTCTGGTTGGAGCTGATGGTTGGTGGAGGCAGTTTCATGGTTATTATTGCCCATATAGTTGCCTTTATTTTTCTGCTATATCTGAGAAGAGGTTGAGTTTAGACTTCCACCTCCTCCTAAGTGAAGTCCCTCTGTGTCTCCTGTGATTTCAAGTTAGGTAATGAATTTGAAAAGAGTATGTCTATTTTTAAAAATTAACTAATTTTTGGCTGCACTGGGTCTTCATTGCTGCAAGTGCGCTTTGTTAGTTTTGGAGAGTGGGGGGTTACTCTCTCTAGTTGCCCTGTGCGGGCTTCTCACTGCGGTGGCTTCTCTTGTTGTGGAGCGCAGGCTCTAGAGCACAGGGTTCAGTAGTTGTGGCCTATGGGCTTAGATGCCCCAAGGCATGTGGAATCTTATCAGACCAGGGATTGAACCCCTGTCCCCTGCATTGGCAGGTGGATTCTTAACCACTGGACTACAGTCCAGAGTGTGTCTTAAAATAGTTTTGTACTCTCATGTAAGTTCCTGCATGTCCCTAATTTTGTCAAGATCGGAATCTATGAACTAGTGGACTAATTGCTGTGGTTATAAAAAAAAAAAAAAAAAACTCTCCAAAATGAAAAAGAAAACCAGAACATTGTGATTGCAAAGTCAATGGAAGACTATGTTTCAATAACGGAGATGAATATAGTTGAAAAGTTAAATGGAATTAAAAAGTATTTAACTTTTACTTTGAACTAATGTTAGGCTTACAGAGAATGTGGAAAAAAGATTTTCTGTATTTTCTTCACTCAACTTCCCCAATGTTAACATCTTACAGCAAGTTAGAACTGGACATGGAACAACAGACTGGTTCCAAATAGGAAAAGGAGTACATCAAGGCTGTATATTGTCACCCTGCTTATTTAACTTATATGCAGAGTACATCATGAGAAATGCTGGGCTGGATGAAGCACAAGCTGGAATCAAGATTGCCAGGTGAAGTATCAATAACCTCAAATATGCAGATGACACCGCACTTATGGAAGAAAGAGAAGAACTAAAGAGCCTCTTGATGAAAGTGAAAGAGGAGAGTGAAAAAGTTGGCTTAAAGCTCGACATTCAGAAAATGAAGATCATGGCATCCGGTCCCATTTCTTCATGGCAAATAGATGGAGAAACAGTGGCTGACTTTATTTTTCTGGGCTTCAAAATCACTGCAGATGGTGATTTCAGTCATGAAAATTAAAAGACGCTTACTCCTTGGAAGGAAAGTTATGACCAACCTAGACAGCATATTAAAAAGCAGAGACATTACTTTGCCAACAAAGGTCTATCTAGTCAAGGCTATGGCTTTCCCAGTAGTTATGTATGGATGTGAGAGCTGGACTATAAAGAAAGCTGAGCGCCAAAGAATTGATGCTTTTAAACTGTGGTGTTGGAGAAGACTCTTGAGAGTACTTTGGATTGCAGGGAGATCCAACCAGTCCATCCTAAAGGAAATCAGCCCTGAATACGCACTGGAAGGACTGATGTTAAAGCTGAAACTCCAGTACTCTGGCCACCTGATGTGAAGAACTGACTCATTGGAAAAGACCCTGATGCTGGGAAAGATTGAAGGAGGCAGGAGAAGGGGATGACAGAGATGAGATGGTTGGATGGCATCACCAATTCAATGGACATGAGTTTGAGTAAACTCCGGGAGATGGTGAAGAACAGGGAGGCCTGGTGTGCTGCAGTCCATGGGGTCGCAAAGAGCTGGACATGACTGAGCAACTGAACTGAACCTTAGCACAGTAATCAAAACAAGGGAATGAACATTAATACAATATTAGGAGCTAAATTAGAGACCTTATACACATGTCACCAGTTTTCCCACCAATGTCCCTTTTGCTTTATAGGATACCATATTACATTTAGTTGTTATTTCTTCCTAGTCCCTAGCAGTCTATAATTGCCCTGAGATCTTTCCTTGTCTTTCATGATCTTGACAGTTTCCAAGAGTATTGAGCAATTATTTTTTGGAACATCCCCCAATTCTATTTGTCTAATGTTGTTTTCATGATTGAATGAGATTATACATTTTCAGCAAGAATATCACAGAAATGATCAGTGATCAGGACTTAGCACTTCCATTGCAGGGGCCAGAGTTCAATCTCTAGTCAGGAACTAGGATCCCACAAGTTGTCCAGTGAGGCCAGGAAAAAAAAAAAAAAAGAATGCAAGACTACTAAATTGGAAAAAACTGAACTTTAATAATGTCATAGATAAAAGATTAGAGTTGTATATCAAAAGTTCTAGGAAAGAATGGGGGGGGGGCAGAATAATGCTATCCCCCCAAGGATATCCACGAAACATGTGAATAAGTTAAATAGAATGTGATCAACTATGAGCATGCATGCTCAGTCATGTCTGGCTCTTTATGACCCCATGGACTGTAGCCCTGCCAGGCTCCTCTGTCCATGGGATTCTCCAGGCAAGAATACCAGAGTGGGTTGCCATTTCCTTCTCCAGGGGATCCTCCCCACTCAGGGATCGAACCCGCATCTCTTGCACCTACTGCATTGGCAGGCAGGTTGTTTACCACTACTGCCACCTGAATATATTAGGTTACAGACAAAGGGGAATTAAGGTTGCAGGTGAGCTAAAGGCTGCTAATCAATTGATTTTAAAATAGGAAGATTATCCTAGATTATCTGAGTGGCCCTGTTGTAATCACAGGGATCCTTAAAGGGTTAACAGTTGGTCTGATGGGCGGCAGAAGCCAAGGAATGCAAGTAGCCTCTGGAAATTGGAAAAGGAAACAAATTCTTTGCAAGAGCCCCCAGAAAGTAAGGCAGCCCAGCCAACACCTCGATTTTGGTCCAATTTGAGACTGTCAGACTTATGACTTACAGAATGTAAGCTAATAGGTTGGTGTTAAGCCACTATTAGGAGAGGGCAACGGCAACGCACTCCAGTACTCTTGCCTGGGAAATACCATGGACAGAGGAGCCTGGTGGGCTACAGTCCATGCAGTCGTGAGGAGTCGGACACGAGTGAGTAACTTCACTTTCACTTTCATGCACTGGAGAAGGAAATGGTAACCCACTCCAGTATTCTTGCCTGGAGAATCCCAGGGACAGAGGAGCCTGGTGGCCTGCCGTCTATGGGGTGGCACAGAGTAGGACACGACTGACATGATTTAGCAGCAACAGCAAGCCACTATGCTGCAGTAATTTTTTAGCGCAGACAAAGAAAACAAACTGACTACCTACATTTGAACTTTAAGGGATTCTATACCTTGGTCCCTCCCTAGTTTAGTGACTTTCCCCCCTTTATTCTTTTCCTTTTGATTTCGGCTCCAGTCAGCTGGTTGTTACTTAAATATTATCCCAGTTGATTTTAGGTGTTTTATGTTTCTGGGTATGTGAAACATAGGGTTCTAAAAGACAGTCTTAGACAAAATTGCCACTCCCCTGTTAATCCTGCAACCTTGTTCCCATTCTCCCCTTCTCCCCACCCTTCTCATACAGGACATAATTCACTTTAACTTCTGGTGTATCCCCTGACTCCTCTGCCTGACAAATGAGCAGGTATTTGTGTGTGTTCTTACATCCCCTGGTCTCTTTCACAAAGGGTGTAATTAAAAAAAAAATACTTATTAATCTGCATCTTGTTTTAGTTGCATACATGGGATCTTCGTTGCTCCACTACATGCAGGATTTTAGTTTCCCAAAAAGGGATTGAATCCTTCTGCACTGCAAGGATTCTTAACCACTGGACCACCAGGAGAGTCCCCAGAAAGTGTGTACTTTTGCCTTTAAGCAAATTTAACTTTTCAAAGTCCAGCGAATTTGGCACAAGAAGGCTACTTATAACTTTAGCAAATGTTGTTTTGTTTAAATGCTAAAGGCCAGAATTAAATGAATTAAACCATGAGACATGAGGGAAATGAAATAGAATAGTTAACTTTCACTAAATTCTTCTAATCCTTACCTGCAATTAGACTGTACACTAGGTACTTCTCATCATAGATGCTGGTAACTGAGTTGCATTAATTTTAGTAAATGTGGGCAGCAGAGGGTGCAAACTGTTGAGTTGGCAGAGACAGGTAAATTACTCCCTTTTCGGAGGCTCATTGGGTGGGTGTTAGAATAAGGAGACATTTCTGATGACGGGTCTGTGTATTCCCAGGTGCTTGAATCCTAAAGCCTTCACTTAGGTACCTTGCCCAACAGTGCCACAGCATCGCAGTTTTGGTTGCTGAGCCCAAAGTGGAGCCCCAAACTACTGTGTTAAGAGTGGTCCTACAGAGCAGGGCCTTCCCCACAATATACAACCCTGCCCAAAGGGACCAAAAACAATGTAAAATATAACACCTCAGCCTACACATTTCCTCAAGTGAACTGAGCAGTGTTTGGTAGCCGTTAACAAACTAATCACAAGTACCCTCCCACTTCCATCTGCAGCAACAAACATTCCCAGGATCCCGGGCCGTTTGGACTGACGTTACTTCCGGGAAAAGTAACCTTTCTTTGGCGGTTGCAGATCAGAGAGGTCTCGCGACATTTGCTCCCGCGAGATCTGCTTGCTCACTCTAGCGATGACATCCTCCTCCTCCTCCCCGCCGCCTTTCGGCAATCTTCGCCAGTCCCAGCCCCGACCAATCTGCCATCAGATGGCATGGATCAGGGTCTTCCCCCGAACCCCGGTCGGCGCGGGGCGTCAGGCGGCAGCGGCGGGGTGCGAGCTGCACGAGGCCGACGGCAGCGGCTCTGCGGACGGCCACGGGCTGGCGACGAGCAGTGAGCGTGGGCGGGGCGGGGGTAAGCCTACTGAGTAGCGGCTCGATTGTTCTGGCCTGGCTATGGCGCCTCTCCTCCCCCCCGCCATGGCTCCCCGTGTCCCTGCTCCGCTCCTCTCAGTGAGTGAAAGTGGCCGCCGCCGCCGCCGGCCCAGCGCCCGCAGCCGCCTCAGCGCCGCCGCCATCTTGGGGTCCCAGGAGCCGCCGAAGGAGCGAGCTAGGAGCGTCCACGCCCAACGCAGTCACCGTCCCACGGCCTCAGAGAGCGAACCGCGGCTCCACCGTCGGCGGGGCGACCCCCCCCTCCGGACCCCGCCCGCACCCCGCCCCCCCTCCGCCGCCGCCGCGGCGGCGGGGCCCGGCGGCCCGAGGTGAGGCGACTAGACGTGGGCGGACGAACGGAGGGGGGGTTGTGTAGGCCCCGTTGCGCCCCTCTCTGGGCGACGACTGGGCCGCGTCTTAAAGGGGCCGTCGCCCCCGGCCCTGGGATTTGTTGGGGTTAGTAGGGAGGATGGGTGTGGACACTCCTCGCAGGGTTGGGACCTCAGGGATCTCGGCCTTGTTCTTACTCTCTCCTACCTCTGGAGACCCGGGGTCACGCGGTGACCTCGGCCAGCCGAGAAAGCCCATGGGGCGCCCACACGTGAGGAGTGTGTTAGACCAGGTGCACGTGGGACCCGGTGGGGCGGTGTCGGCTAACACGTGTGTGGGTTTGGGGGTGGGGTGGGGCAGGGCGGGGGCTGGTTGGGCTCGAGTGGGAACCCGGTGTGGACTGCTGTATCTGTCCTTTTAAACAGATGAGCTCCAAGGGCTGGATAGTATGTCAGTTTTTGGGTGCGAGCTGGGATCTGGGTGAATGGTCCATTTTGCTTGTTGGTGTTGGCTGGGTGCAGCCTAACACGTGCGCACACTTAGGAGTGTGTAGGTGTCACCCCTTCTAGGCTTTTTGGCCTTTGTAGGGCGTCTAGGCAAGTGTCATCCAATTTGACGTTCCTTCTTGAGGTCGCTGTTGAAAACTACTACTTCCGTAATCAGCGAGGGTGGAAGCCCCCTACAGTTTAGGAGTGAGAGAGGTTCTAAGAAGGCACTCACTATTTTAGTTTAACAGCCAGCTCTGCCGAATTCTTTGATTCAAACACTGTCTAGTTGTATGTTCGTGTACTTGTTGGTAGAATGGAAGAAGAAATGAGGTGGTTGACTTTGTTAACATCTCAGGTAACCAGCTTACTTTTCCAATCAGTGACTTTCATGATTTCCTTTCCCAAAAGGAATTTTCACTGTGGTTTACAAGTGGCGGCTTTTTGTTATTCATTTTTAAAGTAACACCTTTACTGAGATATAATTCACATACCAAAAAGCTCCGCCTTTTAAAGTGTACAGTTCCATGATTTTTAGCCTACGAATCGAGTTGTATAGCTAGCACAGTGCATTATCTTAACTAACTGATCACTCCAAAAAGAAGCCCCCTTAGCAGTTACTCCCTTCTCTTCACCCAACCCCTAGCAATCACTAATCTCTTTTCTGTTTTTGTAGATTTGCCTACTCTGGATATTTCATATAAACAGAATCATACAATATGTGTCCTTTTGTGGCTATCTTCTTTCACTTAACCATGTTTTCAAGGCTCTTTCATGTTGCAGCATGTATCAGGACTTTGTTTCTTTTTGTTGCCAATTAGTGTTCCAATTCTTGTTGTGTTTTATTCTTGAAATTCTCAAGCTCTTCCTATAAAACATTTATTTGGTTATTATATATGATAAAAGTCACATACTTAACTAGATTCTAAAATAAATTTGTATTTTTAAGAGTTAAATTCCGTTGTTTTAGTTTACTATGTTCTTTTCCTCTACAATTTGTTTCAGAAGAATCCAAATCAATTTTTAAAGGTCTGTGTTTTTTAATAGGAAAAAACTAATGTTAAGAGCACAAATATGATTAGAAATTTTATGACTAATAAAAACATTTTGAGTACATCAAGGTACAAATGTGATTCTGTCTCAGCTACAGACCCTAAACTGTGATGTTATAATTTCACTTAGTGAAAGTTTGTCATGGTACTACCAAGGGAAGGTATCCTTAAACAGTTTTAGACTGTTGTTAACTTGTGTAGACATAGGACTAGGAGAGGACTAATAGGCATCTTTTCTGCCCACAAGGTTAAAACTGGCTTGGGGATTTAACACGTCAACATAAAGTTCACACAAAATACAAATGCTGGGATGCATTGAGTTTTAGAGTGGATAAGATTTGGATAAGATTGGTAGGAATTGGATAAGATTAATAGGAAACTTTGAATTTGTGTAGGAAAATAAGTGGAGTTGGTGACAGGTTTGCTTCTTAAGCACATGGATTTTGATACACTATGTCGTAGCCTGCAGAAGACTGAGAAGCGCGTAGTCGTTGATACTTACTAAATACCTTATATGGGCACTGATCTAATCACCGGGGCTCCTGTTCCACCTCACACCGTCACCTTGGCAGTTAGGATTTCAGCATATGAGTTGGGGGAGTGAAGGGACCTAAACATTTGAACCATGGCTGTGTATTAAATGAGAAATTTCAGTTGTAGAAGCACTGGATTCGCTTGCTAATTGTAGTACAGTAGGTTTGCTTAGAGTTGAAAAGTTGGTCACAAAGAAGTTCAATGCCTGGGTTTTGTAAGTACGTAAGAGAGATTTCCATATGTGTTAGGTCAGAAGTAGGATATTAGTAATAGCCAACGTCATTGACAAATTAGATGTGAAAAAAATCACTGGGACTAAATGCTGTCCCTTTTTTTCTTTAAAATTTGGCATGCATCTTGTGGTATTTTAGTTCCCCAGCCAGGGACTGAACCTGAGCCCTTGACTGTGAAAGCAGAGTCCTAACCACTAGACCGCCAGGGAATTCCCCGTATATTAAACTGACTAAAAGACAATGAGTAAGCTGTGTGACATGCCTTTGTAAACCTTCATTACCAAGCTTTGGTAACTGTGTGATGGCGTCAGAGCAGTATCCTTACATTATTTATGTGCTTTGAGCCCCTTTATTGTCTAAAGAAACCTGTGAACCCCTTCTCAGAATTTGACTTTTCAAATGTATAAAATATAATTCACGTTTTAACAGCTAGTGTTTGTCCTGCTAATACCACTGTGGTATGCTACAGGAACTACATTCAGAATTGAAGAAACTGTTAATTTCAGTTATAGGTTAGTGAAAATAAGGATGTACATTTTTTTCCATCCAACTTCTTGGGCCCTAGTTTATTTTTTTTAATTTTTTTATTTTTGGCCCTAGTTTAAAGAGCCTAAAGAGCCTTTGCCCTGGAGAGTCCAACATGTAGCTAAGTCATTTTATATGCATCAAACCAGTGATTTTTTTTTTTTTTTTAAGAAGTAGAAGGATTGTTGGCTCAAATTTGCATTCATGTGAACAGGACTTTTTAGGGGAAAAGTGAGTGATAACTTAGCTGAAGAGAGACATGGTTATATAATAGAAAGACATTGGTTTTGAACTTAAAAAGACTTGGGTTTGAGTCCCGCGTAGCACTGAATAAGTCCGTGAACTTTTTGTTTCAGTTCTCCGTATTTGTAAAACAGGTAAAATAATTTTCACTTCTGAGATTAAATGACATATCAACTATAAGACAGCATATTGAGAAATGTTAGTTTATTTTCACCTTTGAAGAACATATCAAAAACTTTAACATACATTTAGTTTTGATTTGGAAGAGGAAACTTACTCAGTAGGAAAGAACATGGATGGCATATAGGGTTTTCTCAGGGTATTCATGTATAGTGTTCACCTTTTTGTACTGGTACTAAAATGATTCATATTTCTTATAAACAGATAAGCTGCCTTTGGGCTTGCATGTGACAGCTACCTTTCTGGGCAAGAAGTTAGTTAACTGAGGAAGATAAACTGGGTAAATCTTTCATTCCTTGTGCATGGACAGAAAAATGGCTAGAGAACATCAATATGGTAAAAGGAATGCTAGGCCACGTGGTCAGTTTATCTCTGAGATTGTTGTCTGAATATTATCAGAAAGGCTGTCAACCTATTTGTCACTCCTGGAACTTCCCTGTTGGTCCAGAAGACTTCATGCTTCACTGCAGGAGGCACAGGTCCAATTCTTTGGGAGCTAAGATCCCGCATGTCTTACGGTGTGTCTAATAAGTAAATAAATAAATGTTTAAAAAAGTCACTCCTGAGAGAGATGAAAAATAATTTAGAAATGGACTGTATTTGTGTTATCTTGGTAGAAAACCACAATGCATTCACTCTTAGACTTAAATTATTACACCTCAAAGAAGAACAAATTAAGCAGGAGGGAAATTTCCAGTATAAATAATGAAGGCAACAGTGAGACTTTCATATGAGGATAAATTTAACTTCACAATGGAGTGAAGAAGACTGAGATAGACTGTTATTAAATTGTTAATCTGGAAAATTAGAACTAGCTTGAAAGATGAATATTGTTAGATAGGTGTATAATGAGTGGTTTGTTTATGAAACTTAATAACACAGAAAGTGGTTAAAGCTCATGAACAGACCAGACCCAATTTAAATATTACAAAGCCAGAGACTTTTCCATCCCTAGTTCATTTCAGGTCAACAACCATTTAATGATACTTGAACCTAATGGTTTATGAAACTCCTTATTCTTTTCATTCATTCACTCAATATTTATTTACTGAACACATATTGAATGTGCTTTGATCTGCCCAACAGTGATTTGTT